CCATCTGCCAGTGAAAATTTCTAGGGAGGTATATATTTAGAGTTTATATTGTACAAACTCGCTCGTATTACGTCAAAAACCAACTTAGTGTAAAATATATCTATGCAATTTGTGCTGTTATAGAATGAGAGGCCAAGTTGGAAGCGACGTACGGTGAACCTTTTCCACAGCATGAGAAACACATGCATTTCTTATATATAGTATACATGCATGTTATATACGAACAGGATTTGTTTTATATATTTAGATTCTAAATTTACATGTTGTTATGTTATCAGCGCATTCTTCTTAACATATCTCCTCTCAAATATAAGCCACACATTGGCAGATATAGATTCTAACTTATATATTTATCATATAAACATCTCCTTATTTAAAACACCACCATAATCAATTTACTAGAATATAAGTATTACACGTAACAGAAAGCATTGTTTGTGTAATATTAATACGATAAACAATAGAATTTATTGTAATTATACTATACTATGTATAATATTGAGTATATTTAGAAGAAATACTGTAGTAGGATGTATGAAATGACCTAGAAACATACAGACCTACATAATTCTAGTGCCAATACCGAGTCAAGTATTATAACACCTTAAACTTATGTCTGTTCTTATATATACAATATCTAGTTGAGGTGAACCATTTATTTTTGTTTTATGTTAGTCACATTACACTGCGACCGATTCCTCTTGCCAGAACAGTGACAGTTAAAATTTACCCATTTTGTTGGTTAACAAAAGAAACACGGGTGGAAAGCTGGAATGTATAAATTTGACGTCTCGTCAATCTTAAGTCATTTGAGACTAAAATATTATCTATGTGGTTACGTGAGCACTGCAAGCGAGATAATTTTTCCCGGACAGCGGCTATTCCGGCCTACTCGGCGTCGATTCCAGCTTCCAAAGGGTTGTTTTACGTGCACACCAATGATTTCTTGTTAGCTACGGACGCGTTACCCCCGAGAAAAGGAAAATAGATTAAAACATCACTTAACATTATTAATTTCCTGATGAATTTCCGTGTTACTCTCACAATACAATTGAAGATAAACACATCATTTACGTTAAAGATGCATCATGTAAGAATTACATAAAGAGCTGGTCGTTCTTGTTATAATAGTTCAAAACTAAATAATACAAAATCGACATATTGAACATTTCAGTAAAATTACTGTATTGTGTGCAAAGTTATAAGTGTTTGAAGTTTTGCAAAATGTAGTGTAGATTGTTTATTATCGTAGCAATCGAGACTAACTTGTCTCGAATATATCATTACAATCTTCCATGGCCGCGGTGTTCTAATCTACTTAATTATGGGCTTGTCATATTGACAAATATTTATATAATATTTGAAACCAGAAAAAGCCCTCCAATGTGCAGCTTTAGCTCTTACATTAGGCATCTTTAATATCAGACTAACCAAAATAATCATTTAGTAGACCTTCTTGGCATGTTTTCAGACAGTATTTTTGAAAATGTGCAATACTTGTTAATATATTATTCATTATTCAATACCTCCAGAGAACTTGAAACCGCCGCGTCGTGTTAGTATGTACTATTAATGAGATTAATATATTGTCATTAGATTGTAATTTACTGAATCACCGTCCTTGATTGTAATAACAATTATCATATACACATATTCAACTAGTAGGCGGTTGTTGATTTGTACTGCACGGTCGCATTCTAACATCATCACTACACAAGACATGATTTGACAAGTTATACACCATTATAGATAGGTTTAATTTCAAAACGATGCGTGCTCGTATCTTGTAATAAGTTTTGTTGTCGTGTTTTCCGAGGCAATTAAATGAAGCAGAGATTAACGTCCGATATCTTCACCAAGTTCCGTTATTTAGAAACTAATTGAATCTGTGTGCGTAATTCAATGTACAATGTACGAGGGCTGCATGGCTGAAAAGTTCTAAGCCTATCTGTAAAAGATTTGTAGAAAGTCAATGGTTTCCATTTAGTTTTCTACATAGCCCCCTTCGAGGTTTACACACTTTTGCCTGGGTGCCGGTCAAGAAGAAATTGTCTTCAGCCATGACGTCGTCCGTCCATTGTTTAGATTTAATTTTGGAATCTGGTCTCATCCAAGGTTACAAATCTGGCCAAAAACTTATCAGGATCTGCTTCAAAACGGCACAGATTATCACGGGACGTCAGGGATCTGACACGTTTCCGATCAGGAGCCCAGGGCTTTGACACCCATCTTGCAGAAACTTTTGTCGTCCCTAACCCGTTGCCGATAATGTGTTGAGCCCTCTTATGAGAGATGCCCACAACACTGGCAATATGTCGAGTGGTCAATCGTCGATCGGCCTCACCATGTCATCAGTCATGCACCGGGTAATATTTGTTTTTGAATGGTTGCTGCTGATGGCCTTCCAGGACGCGGGTCGTCTTCTTTACTGTGGAAAAGGAGGAGGCATCATCTCCTGAACTGGAGACCATCTCGGCATATATCTGTGTTGGGGTTAGTCCTTTCTTTTGCAGGTACTTTATACCCTATAGCCAGTTTTGTCCATTTCTAGTGATTTCAATGGGTAGGTTCACAAGGTGGTCTGGTACGATGACAGTAATAACACTATAGTTGCAGTTCTTATATCTATGATTCATTCAATGATTGTACTTGTTGGTGGCAAAAGTTTGTTTCAACCCAACTGACCTATCCTTTTCAGGCTTAGAAGTTTTCAGCCAGGCCTCGTACAATATGGAAAGCAGCGTATTTTCAACTACCCACAGATCGTTTTCATGTACAGCACTGTGTAGGCCTACACAAGATCTCGGTTTTCGTCTCATCCAAATTTTAATAGTTGTCTTAAACTCCGGCATAGTCGGCATAGATTTATCCAAAACATGATTATTTATATGATACAAATTTACTGTGTTATTTTATTGTGTTCCGATTACTAAATGTCATTCAAAGAATATTTACTGGAATGTGTTGTGGATTTCCGTCCGCACGAATCAACATTCTTTTAGCTTTGAATGAAATATGAATGACTAAACCAAAAACAACTTTGCGGAAAAATGATAATGACATTTCTCATTATTTCAAAATGGAGGCCCACGATATGCCTGTTCAGAAGTTTTACTCATGCAATTGTATTAAATGTGTTAACCATGGAAAAGTGCATGCATTTATTTCCTCTCTGAGAGCTTGACCTGGCTTCCGTTTTGGATATCGCATGATGAGGCAGTTGTACCACATGACATTATTATACACCTTCTGATTGAACCTTTGTTTGGAAGATAAAACAGAATCATACAAGTTTGAAGTTGTTTAAGTTTGTTTGCAAAACAATCCAGATGACCATGGACGTCACATTACAAATGTATGGTCATGTTTTGAACAAATGGGGGATCGTTTGGGCGGGGCTTAGGTGGCTAATAATTAAAGAAGTCATCTGTAAGCTGGAACAAATGATAATATACATTGGTCTACATACTTCACATGTTAAAGTAACTCTACGAATTACAAATCTTGCGATTAAAGGAGCCAAACCTCAAACTCAGTATCATCCAGTATTGGTCCATTTCAATCAACATTGATGTTGGTATCTGTCCGTGAAAATATGGGATCCTAATCTCCATTATTTAAGATACAATGAACATTTTAAAATCACACGACGTCGTGTACTCTGTGGTTTCGGGTGCCATTTCTAATGAACAAATAAAAGTATATCCTACAAGACAATGAACAAATAAAAATATATCCTACAAGACAATGAACAAATAAAAACATATCCTACAAGCAGGCCCGTAGCCAGCTTGCTCGCTGCGGAGGGGAAGTTTTTAGGGGGAAGGGGCACACCCGGCACAGTCTACAGTAGGTATTTTAGAGCTATGGTCGGTAATTATTTGGGGGGGGGGGGGGTAAACATTTTTCCCCGGGTGGCTACGGGCCTGCCTACAAGATAATGTGAAAGTAATTAGTAATGAATAATTCGCAAACGACAAAATTATATTAAAAAAAGCACGTATAGAATGGCCTAAGCAGGCGTAAAAAAGTGGTTTTAAATTTGAATTTCACGTATTTTCCCGAACATAATTGATTAGAAATTACGATAAAAATTTCAAAAATTGAATGTAAATCACGTTATATGCATTTCTATTACATCAATATGTGCTATTAGACCCATTTTCGTCTATTTTAAGGTTCCAAAGAATGGGCCAACGCCCATTAAGTTATCCCGTATTCCGGAAGCAATGACCGGTAAAGTGATGTTTCTGATACGTTATCTGTTAGGTGCGGTAGTCGCCACGAAATTTCAACTCGTAATTTTTCCGTTAATACCGCACTGTATGTGCATTTTTGAAAAATTTAATTGTTTAGCTCTGAGCGGTGGGGTGGATTGAAAATAGCAACCTCCACTTTTATTCATTTATTGAAAACATTCACTTTCCTATTTTGAAGGAGCATGTTAGGTTACGAAACGATTTCGAAACGATTCAATCGTGTGGGTTCAAAGCAAACGCAAACGGAAAGGAAATTTCCGTCCCAAATTTTATATACTAAGGGAAACAACTCCATTTAATTACGAATCAGTAAAATAGTTAATAGTTCAATATACAATATACTATATAATTTTCCTAATCCTACTGTGTTTATTTTCCCGTTAATAGTGGCAAATATTAAACCCTATAGTGCTTCCCAAGAAAACAAATGATAAAGAGAATAGATTTATTCAAGTTTTGTCATACTGAATTTTTTTTTATCTTGCGTTGTTAAATGTAGTTGCCTCCCTTGAACTGTGTTCTTAATCTGCATAATTGCTGCCATTGCTATCATTATATTGGAAATTAATTTGACTGCCTGCATGAATTGTGTTTGTCTTTGATAATGTTTCAGTTTGATTAAAGTCATAAATAGAATTTTTCTGCTACTAATCTATTGTGGGGGAATACAGAAAAAGAATCCATGTATAAATCGAAAGTAAGTTATTTCACATGACGGTGACTCTTCAGTTTCCGGTTATGGAGACGAAGTTATCGAATGATGACGACGATCAACTTTTATAAGAGAGATGTCTATAGATTAGAAGAATTAAATGTATTATTTTAATACTGAAAGATGGGGAAATGTCTGTCACGATGTTGTGGTAGATTTGATAAACGGTATGAACTATTTTTGATATGTAATGGAGTTTGTCTTCGGAGATTTGTCCATCACCAGCTAGTAGTATACAATGACCACGCCCCCTATTTTTATGTCCTAGTCAGGTTTCCTTTTATCGAAGAAATGAATATAAATATAGGATAACAACACCGTTCGCTGACTTTTGCAATTTAAACAATAAATTAATATTTTCTTTGGTGTCGAAGTATTATAATTTCATCTTTTGGATAATTACTGAGCTGTTTTGGATGATATAGTAATTGTAGCAGACGAATTTTGTTGACTAAAAGTGTGTAGCACAATTCATCAAGTAAACTTGACTTTTAGTCTTATAATAGACATGGACTATACCCAAAGACCATGGTAAATTGATATATAATTATTACAAATGTATATTATAAAACATTATAAAAGACTGGTGTGGAAACAAGACCAAGTATTATCACTAATTTGCATACCTAGAACTTGAATTGGAAATCAACGAATGGATATTTTGTCATTTACTAACTATCATTTCTATATAGATCTCATCTAGACCTCGTCCGACTTGGTCTAAATTTGTGCCTGTTTATGTAGCCTACTTGGTGGTGTCTGCTACTAGCATGGTCAACTAGAAGTTATTAGAGCGAAATATTATGTATCATTTCATTTGTGAAATATTTTGTATCATTTCATTTGTGCTCCATCATTTCATTTGCGCACCATCATTTCATTTGTGCACCTTCACATGTTCTTTGACAATATAATATTTTATTTTTGCAGAAGAAAATATCTTCGTACGAGGTACGATGTTGAACGTGATTATTCTGTTGAGGTGAGTAAATACTACCTGTATACATTAACCTACCTAATTTCACATAAAGAATTTTTGTTTCATGATCTAGAAGTTTGTTTTCAAAGTGTATAGAAGATTACTGGTATTTTTGATGAGCTTATATAAAGTTTATGAATTGAATCAAATAGTTACAAGAGATACTTGAATAGATTTGTCTTGTTATATAGAAATATAAGATTACTATATAATTGTGTAACACAGTGTTTTATTTATATGATCTTATAATACCCATGCCTGGGCATACCTATCCATCAATATCTACCTGCATAATTACCCCTTAGCATACCATACCTAACTATGCTCAAAAATAATTTATTTTATTTTAATTTTAAAATATTAGTATGAATTTTTTACTGTAATTTTCCATATTAAAGAATAATAGAAATAAAGTGTTAAGGAATTGAATGAAGCTTGTTTATCCCACATGTAATACAACTAAAAGTCTCTGATCGTCATTTGAGAGTACTTAAATCCCTTGCCAACTACAATGACATGCACTCCAATTATTTTCGTTGACATCTTTTGATTAATCTGATTGAATCCAAGCCTTTGATGTTGTTTTCCTAATTAAATGTTGATTAATAAATTTGAGTACATTTTAGCCTGGTTGAATCCGTGAAAAATTAGATATTATTATAAGAAAAATGGTAATGACGATCAATGACTTTAATGTTTTATATATTCACATTACGACTTAAGACTTTGTCGATTATGTTACCTGTTGCACAACCTGTATATATACACGCCTGCTTTATCTTTGTTTCAGTTTGAAAATTTAATGGATGAGGTGGGTATTGTTTATATAAATTTATTTTTATAATTAATAGATTAGTGATAATCTGTCTCTTGAAGGGAAAATGAAACAAGTATGGAATTTGAAATAAAATTTGTAAAATAAAGTCTATACATTTGAGCAAGACGTCCAACACTACCAGTATGGTATCTAAAGATTAAAACTATAATCTTTAATAACCGTGGAGAATTTTCACTTTAAGCCTGATTCTTAAATCTTTGAATTTGAACTGAGTTGTGTTTCGTATAGTAAAAAAGTAAGTAGAAAACTGATTGAGTTCTGGTGCTGTATGAATGCATTATTACATTAATGAATACATTTCCTTCTTAGAACTTTCATATTACTTTATAGTTTGTACAGTGAATTAAACCATTCAGTTTAAAGAGCGTGAAATGGGATAGATTAAATATTGAATAATTAAATTGATCAACTGATCATTGACTGATGATTTTGACGGAATTTGATAGGATTATATCATATATATAGAGGACATCATGTTTCTTTAAATTGTAATTTTTACCTTCTATTTACGAAGTTGCCTTGAATTTGTATAAAAAATTCCTGGATAAGTTATTTTCAAATACAGGTATTGAACTGAATTGTTACTATTGAATTGTAACATTGTTCATGGGTAATCATTGAGTGTCATTTTGCATTTGGGTGCATTAAAAACTAAACGACCATACATGGAATACAGTCAATTGTTTATTATACATATGGCATGACATTTTGAGAAGTGTTCCCTTATATTTTACAAAATATGCAAAAAAAATCCTGCTTACTGTGTTGACATGAGAATGCAAAATTCATTATATCTAACCACACCTTTTTTCTAGAAACATTTTTCTTTACTCTATTTGAAGAGGTGTAGCCATTTGAAGCTTATGCAATCTATGTTGACAATTGGCATATTAATTAGTATTTATCATTTTTCAAAATGTAAACTCATAGGACAAAGACAGATTATTACTTCAGTACAAAACAATAACCAACATTAAGATAATATTCTAATAAATAATCATCTATTGCTCTATTCAATGAGTTAAGGGGCTTCGAATAGCTTGATCTATACATATCATATATAGTTAACATAGTGTTCATGATGTTTGTATGGATTATGTGGTCTTGGTTATCGATAATGATCAGTGGTTAGTAACCTCTTACATCTATATCAAGAGATTATGTAACCAATATTCTTTATATAAAAAATACTTTTTCGCCTTTATTTGTCTGGAATATTTATTGTATGAAAAAATATATTTTATGCTTTTTTTTCTCTGGAATATTTTGTATATCAAAAATACTTTTTTAGCCTTTAGTCTGAACAATGATTTTTGCCTATTTTTATTTTCTGAACTTTCATTTCAGGACACCCAAAGCTATGATGCGAACAGGTAAATGTTTTATCAACTACTAGAAGAACATTATTAATGCAAATTGTCATTAGCTCAATTTGCTTGTTGAGTAGACCCGCTACTTTTCTTTAACATTTCCTTACTGATTCATTGATCTGTTACCTTGAATATTCATGTTCTGTATAGATTTATATGAAAGTCATTATCTCTAGGCTGATTGAGATAGAAATAAAAGATACAATGAATGTGGAAGTGAAATGTTTGAAAAAGAGTAAGAAATAATTGTAAGATATTGATTTTAATGGAAAGATCTTAGTTATCATGCATTAATACAGATGCATGCCATTCTCATTAATAATTCATTTATAATCTAACTTTCTGGTAAAATTTAAACCTTCATTGCTTTCAAGCAGGATAATGTTCAGGTACCAAAACATTTGAAATCTGGAAATGTTGCAGCTAATAAATTAATAATAAACTTATTGAATGATGTCCATATTGAATGCAATTGATAAATTAATAGTACACTTATTGAATGATATCCATAAAGCTGTCTTTATTATTAACAACAAATTATGAATCTTTTATGAGTATTTATGTTACATAAACAAAGGTAGAGATATAAAAAATAAAGGGACAAAAAATTTAAAAAATGATGGTTAAAAACTTGATTTTATTTATGGCTGCCTTTAGATGTCAGTTAGAATTAAAGAATGGACCATTTACAGTTTCAACTTATGTAAAATGGGTAGGTCACGACCTGCTGTTTTTTTGAATTGATAGTATAAATTTTGTGTACATGTTGATATGTATGTTCAGCACTATCTTCTTTTTTTATTATTTGTAAATCCAGTCATGCCATGTAAAGTGTTGTGAAACACCATGACAGATTGAAACAGTTTTTTCTGTTTGTTTCTTTCATGGAAGTATTAATTTGATAGTCTTTAGTTTACTCTAATAATGCATGTATGAGGATGTATCGATGCCAATCCACGGCATATACAGACGAAACAGACTCGCTGTGATGCATCCATATTTTATTTATTTCATTTTATATCAAAGACAAATGTTGGACATTTTAACAGCAGGCTATTAGGTGTAAAGAATCCTCATATCCATTTCAATTTATGAATTTACTATGAAATCCAAAGTAATCTAGATGAAAGCTAGAAAATTTAATAGATCAATGAACACAATCATAGAAAAGTGATTAAATCTTATCACATACTTCCCTGACATTCCAATAATTCCATGACTTTGAAAATATAGTGCTTACAGACAAATAAACCTATCGACTATTTTGGTTCCACAAGAATTTGATAAATTTTTAATTTTATTTTTTTGTTCTTTTAGAATGAAAAAGAGACACATTAAATGCACGGTACTCAATTACTATCTTTAATGGCCTATTTTGAGTTCATTTAACAAAATAAAACCATCCACAAATGCATTTAATCTCAACAGATACCCATGTGTGAAATGTGAAATCCATTACAAACACTAAATGAATAGTTATTATAATTGTAATTCACTTGGCCAGAGTGGTAGAGTGAATAATGTAACATTAGCTGCAGTTTGTCATCGGTAATGTTGTATTATGACAAACCATACCATACTGACTTTCAGCTTTGTGTCTAATATATAGGAAGCTGAGTGAAACTAACAATTTTATGGGGATCTAAAAAGTCTGAGAACCATCTTTTATCTAATTTCGCCGACCTCTGTGTATTCATATGAATCATCATTTGACAAATTATATTTTAGACATCTGAGCATGCTGACATTTTTACCTAATTTAAGAGCTATGTTAAAATTGTGGTTTGATTTAGTACCTGGTTTTGTGTGTTATATTTTGTTAATTACACTGGACATATAAGTGACCTAAGGGAAAATCATTATTGTATGTAAAATGGTAGGCATGTAGTATATTCAATACAGTAGTGGTACTCAAGACACATAATAATATAAAATACAAGACCAGATCAGAGATTTGTAATAATAATAGACAGTTGAGGTTGTTCACAACCTCTCTTGTAAAGTGTCATCTAAACGACAGTTTTCAGCTGTTACCAAATAGGATTCATATGAAAATATCAAACCAATTAGATACATAACTAAAGTGGTTTCACTAGGCTTCCATGTGCAAGGAACCTTGTTAAACAGGGTACTGATTCACCATGCCAAAGAGGGTATTGATTCACCATGCCAAAGAGGGTACTAATTCAAACTGTGACATTGGGTAAAATCAAAATTTAGGTACCGTAGTTGAGAATGTAGCTGAAAGTCTGTGATATGTATGTATGTATGACATACTATGTGCATGTAACATCTTCTACCAATATACATGTAGAAATTAAACATTCACAATATTTCAGTTTATATCAGCCCCATTTAATCTGAAGTCAGGCATTCAAACTAATTTTTTTTTATAACCAGGAATAAAATCTGGCATGATAAGATGTCTTTTAAATTGGATTGGAACTTTGCTTCACCAGACACACACACAAACCCACTCAATAGTTGAAAATCAAAAACAAAAAATTAAAATATCCCTTTCAAAATTCTGTCTTGCTTGAAGAAGTTTTAACACATAAACAACAAAAATAATCGATATGGTTACCCTGATAATGTCTTTAATGATCAAAGTTAAATTGAGCTGATGAGAGCTCTGCAGTTTCGTTTAATTCCCACTGTACTTCATTTACATATTGGAAGAGATGAATAAAATCCTGCAACTGCATTATGATATAATATTTTAACTTTTAGATATATGTACACAACATCCTTCCTTAAATCACATACTAGACGTTTAGTTATGTTTTTATTTATCCTCGTATTTGTGTTTTTTGTGTGTTTATTTCTATGTTTGTATTTTTTGTCAAGGCCTTTAACTGATCATGAGAAAGCAATATTGTCTAAAAGACAGTATGATATTATAGTGCATGAACAAAAGAGAATTGATGCAGAATTAGATTCTAAGGTAAATGTTGTATGTCTATATATTTGTATATTATAATAATTCAGGTCCAAGCATTTCATTCTGTGATTGTTGGGGAACAGAAAATGGTTGATAAATTAGGGAGGGGAATGGGGTCGATGTAACCTTAGGTTTAGCTCCTTACTGTTGTTTTTGCCATGATTTGCTTTCAAAATAATGAATTAAATGCTGGATTTTATGGGCAGATTGTTAGCATTAGATGTTGTTATAAGCTTTAAAATAATCATTAATTAACAGAATTCTATAATTACATGTCATTGTTATTGAAAAAAAATTTACTCAGCATTAATTATACTAAACTTTACTAAATATAGAAATTCTACTAATAATAGTACCGATATCTAAAACTATACTTGTCTGTAATTCTGTAATATGAATATTTGATAATAATAATAAAATGTTTATTGTCCCCCGCCTTTCGAAGAAAGCAGGGGATTATTGAAATGGGTTCGTCCGTCTGTCTGTCAGTCTGTCTGTCCGTCACATTTTTTGGGACACAATAACTCTCTTTCTAATTGAGCTAGAATGTTCAAACTTGATATAGGTGTTTATTAGGTCAATGCCATGATGGAGTTCTAAGATGAGCATTTTCTGCTTAGGGTAAGCAGAAATAAGCAATTTGATTGGTGGATGCTTTGGGAAACTATAACTTTAGTTCTAATTAAGTGAGAGTGATGAAACTTGGTGTATAGTTTCATTACATCAATACCATGACTAAGTTCGAAAATAAGCATTTTCTGCTCAGTGTAAACAGAGCAATAAGCAATTTGATTGGCCAAGACTTTGGAACACAATAACTCTCCTTCTGATTGAGGTAGAATGTTCAAACTTGATGTAGGCGTTCATTAGGTGAATGCCTTGATGGAGTTCGATGATGAACATTGTCTTTTTTGGTAGGCAGAGATCAGCAATCTGATTGGTTGATGCTTTGAGGCACGATAACTTTAGTTCTAATTAAGTGAGAGTAATGAAATGCAGAGTATAGATTCATTATATTATTACCTTGACTAAGTTCGATGATGAGAATTTTCTGCTTAGACTAAGGAGAAATATTCAATTTGATTAGTCAAGACTTTGGAACATAACAACTCTGCTTTTAATTGAGGTAGAATGTTTAAACTTGATGTAGATGTTCATTAGGTGAATGTCTTGACTTAGTTCAATGATTAACATTTCGAGCTAAAGCTAAGCAGAGCAGTAGAGCTAAGCAATGCCATTGGTCGATGCTTTGGGACAATATAACATTGATTCTATCTGATAGAGAGTGATGAAACTTAGTGTATAGTTGATAATCAGTTTGATTGCTTGATTGTGCTATTAATTAATATGTGTCATCTATTTATTTTGGGATTTCGGCAGGGGACATCAGCCTCACTGTTGGCTTAATTTAATCTGGTTTTAACCACTTCAGTCTGTATAATTACAGCTTGCCCAACAAGAAGAAGAGTTAAAAGAAGAAGAGGAAGCGTTTATAGAAGCTAAAAGAGAAGCAGCACGCATAGCTAAACAGCAGAAAGCTAAAGAACAAGCTGCACGTAAGAATGCTACAACACATGGTGCTAAATCATGGTTAGGTGATAATGATGAAGAATGGGAGATGTAAGCATATTTTATTGTTATAACTCTATGTCTTAATTTATATAATTTAACTATGACTGTCGTTGATCTGACTTATGATTCAATATATTTGGGCATTTCCATGTATAAGCAATTAACATACAATACCAGCATCCACAGAGTATCAGTGGGTTGAACATTTTTGTGTCACTTCTAGAATCTTGAGATTGTTATTACAGATCAATCATATCATATATCTTTACGTTAAAATTATGTTTGGAATCGAACCATTTCTGTAAGTCTATCACAAGAATTAATATATTGCATGACTTTAGCTAAGAAATTAATAATGAAAAAAGATGTGAGTGAATGCTTAGGATTATGTAAAGAATAGAAATGCAGAAAAAAGTGAGGTGCATTTTATTGGGATAATTACATTAGATAATAAGTATATCATTTTCTGTTATCTAAATTAACTTTTTTCTGCCGGTGCTGTGAGATGCCCCATGGTATTCTTCGCCATGTTCTAAATGTTACTCATTGTCTACAGATATAAGTCCATTTTATTACATATAAAAGCTTTCAAGCTAAAGACACTAAAGAAAATTAAACTACTTTACTACTTAGTTGGTTGTCAGTTCACATTTACAAACATATATTCTCTACTTGTCTCTCTACTCAGACAATTTTACACTTCTTACAAATTAGTTTATCTTCAATAAATCAGTTAATCTTCTTTCAGAGCTGGAGGTGAAGACGACTTTGAAATTTTCTTAGCCAGTGTTAAGGCTAGATCATTAGCAGCAAGAAACCAAAGTCTTTTACGGCAAGGTACATAATTTGAGTTTATTCATTCATTTTGTCGTATTTTATAGAAACTAGTGAATTTCTTCAACAGCAAAAGTCATCATCTGATCTGATTTAGATTTATGTTCTTTGTTTTATTATTGTGATGAATATAATTTGCGACCATTTGTGTTAATTAATTATACAGTTATAAACATTGATTATGTTGTATTATCTTTTGAACGCCTGGAGCTGCGGTGGCTGAGTGAGTAAGACATTGGATCACTAACCTAGAGATCCCATGTTCGATCCCAGCATTTGCCGAGAAAGTTAATGAGGATTTTCTGGCATGGTTCCCCCTTGTCTTTGGTGCAGGAAAGAGGCCCTGGCAAGGGACAACGTATAGTCATTTGAATGGAATGAAAAATCAAGGTCCTCTGTACACATTGAAGTGCACATAAAAGATCGCTTGGCAGTTGGGATTCGAAGTAAGGGTAGGACGTATGCCTGTCTTCATTAGCCCAATTGGAGCAGAACAGTAGGACGTTAAACCCTATTTCATTTTCTTTTGAATGCGCCAGTGATATTATACTGTATAAAGATTTGGCTTTTTGTTGAGATATAATATAGACACACGATACAACAACCTTTATGACCTGCTCGGATGGCTTAGCTGCTGTGGTTATATGTTTCGTTGCCTGTCAACCAATCTTTCATTTGTGTATAAATTGATAATATATTGTTGTTATGTTTAAGGTTCAGGAGATGGTCACAGTTCTAGTAGTAGTACAGGTTTAACTCGAGATAGAACAGAAGTATCATCTATAGATTTAGAATGGGATCATGAAGCAGGTTTGTCATCTTTAATGTCTCATATAAACTTTATTTTCAGAAGTAATCATTATTTTCTACAGTTATATGTTCGAAGAAATAGAGTTTTGTACAGATGTACAGACTTATTCAATTCCAAGTGTCAAGATACATAGTGTACATGGATCTCAGTTTCTATCTCATCCAAATCACTAGATATACATCCTTTCCAAACCCATTGAACACAGATGAATTTTTGTTGTGATTCCAATAATTTTAAAAGTGAATGCCATATTATTGTATGTGCTTTATTAGTGAAACTTATCCAGGAATGAATTCAACTTTTGATTAAAGAATCATGTACATATATATGGCATCTAAAATGATAGTAGTGTGTCTTCCATATATGCATTGATATTTGATATAGCTTATTAAATCTAATATAAAAATGTTTGAAATATTAGTTATAGTTCATTAAATCTAATTTAAAAATTGTATTGATATTTAATATAGCTTATTAAATCTAATATAAAAATATTTGAAATTATAGTTGTTATAGTTCATTAAATCTAATATGAAAATATTTGAAATATTTGTAATAGTTCATTACATCTAATTTAAAAATTTATTATATTTGAAAAAGTTATTATAGTTGAAAAAATTATTATAGTTCATTAAATATAAAAATGTTATTGAATGTAAAATGTTTATTATACCTCATTAAATCTAATATGAAAATGTTATAACATGTTAAATATTAAAATATAGCTCATTGAATCTGATATAAAAATATTATTACATGTAAAATATTTATTATAGCTCATTAAATCTAATAGTAAAATATTTATTATAGCTCATTAAATCTAATATAAAACTGTTTTTAGATGTAAAATCTGTTCCCATTCTTCTCATTTTAGGTGTTGTGCCTCAATCTAAATCACGTTCTACCACAGAAGAAAGCCTTGTGGCTTTAAGTTTAAGTAAAGACACACCAAAAGATAGTCCTGTTAATTCTAATGATTTAGAATGGGATAATGACTTTGTTAGTGCTGATGACTTGGAAACAGTTCAGTTAATAACAATAGAAAAACCCAAATCATCCCCAGCAATTCGGTGATACCTTATACAATGTGTTGATACTACAAACAGTATTTAAAACTATTTTTAACCTTCAACTAATATTTGCAAATTATGATTTTGTGTGAATGTTATATGTAAGGCAGTGATTGTATATGTTATTAGTTTTATTTGGTTGAAATAAGGAGACTAATTTTTTTTTTATACACTCACGTGTTAATGTGGTCATATATTGTGGTCTTTCTTAGTGTTATGCCCGTTTGTCCATCCAACGTCTTGTAAAAGCTGTGCAGGTCAGAGATTTTGATTTTTGTTAACTTGATAACCCAGTTAAGAATTGAAACCTATTCAATCCTTTTATTTCAAAACTTGGTGCAATTGTTACTCAAAACCTCACTGAAATATTGAGTGGCATGTCCAGGTTTTTGCCTCTGTTTTTGCAAATTGCATATCACATGAGATTGTTCCAATAGTCATGAGTCTGAACCATACTGAAATTAAGTAAGATGTCATTAAAATCTTGCATGTAAAGATTTCATCAGATAAAAGTTCTTGAGGATCAAACTTAAATTTATATACAACTGCATGGATGACTTAGGTGCTAGTAGGCATGTGTTTTGTTGCCTACTAGCGTTTGTTTATATTTAAATATTACAACAGGTTGAAAGAGGGATCAACAGCATTTATGTTGGTTTATTTTTTTTATCTGAAACTAAAGTGTAAATTTATATAATAAATGTGTGTGGAAGAGGGAATTTCTGTTTTCTATTTTGGTATTCTATATAATAAAATTATTTTTACATTTAATTAACATTTATTATTGATTAGCTAATAATTGTGTTGGTTATTGTAGCTCCATGACATGTAAATATATATTACACTATAAATTATCATCATATAAGATGCTATCATGTAGCTACTGTATATTAAAATCATACTCTGTTAAATCAATCAACAGCTTATATATCCTACAAACTCCAGTATTTCTCAAATACAGTGTTTGTACAGTAAGCAAAAACTATCAACAGATAAAGAAGGAAATTGTATTTGAAAGGTTGCATGTATAACAGAGCTAGACATTCAAGCTATTATGATTATTCCATACATTAAATATGCATTATGTAAGATTTAGATAAAGAGCTGCCAGTTCTCGCTATAATAGTTCTAAAAAAGATAATGAAAAAGAAATATGTTGAAAATTTCAATCAAATTCTGAGCAAAATTATCAATGTTTGGAGTTTTGATAAGAATAGCAATTAACCATTTTTTAATTAAAATATTAAATGGCGAACATGTTTTAATCCATTAAAATCACGACTGTCTGATGGTCTAGAGTTGATTTATCGGCTTTTCATGTGAATAAATGTATTTATATAACATTTGAGTAGGCAGATTTAGCTCTTACATAATGTATCTTTAACAAGGGACCAGTTATTAAACATCTTTTCAGCTTTTTTATATCACATATTCAATTGATTTCCCATGACATTTTTGCACATGGAAGGTGTTTACAATTCTTGACAATAATTCCAACTATAAAATGTGAGACAGGGGAGGTAACTGTCTCTTAGGTCCTGAACGCAATATTATCTCCCTTCCACCATACAAACTAATATAAATCTTTTATTAAAGATACATTATGGGAGATTAGATAAAGAGCTAGCAGTTCTCACTATAATAGTTAAAAACTAGATACTGTAAAGGGAATTTGCTGAAAATTTCAGTCAAATTGATCCACTATGAACCAAGATTTTAGCGATTGAATTTTCGGCCTAGCCTCGATCATCATTACTAAAGTTGGAAGGATAAAAAACATAGTCTCGATTATCCATTTCTTGATTAAATTATGAATGGAAGTCGAACAGCAAATCGGAACCTAATCCAATAAACATCGCAGGTTAGCGATGCCATCGAGAGTTGATTATGGTCTGGATAAGTTAATTAATGTCTAATTAATAATTGAGATAAAATTTCAGGCCTAAAGAAAGACCTGCAATAGGCAAATTTAGCTCTTGCATAATGTATGTTTAAGATAATGTCATTAAAAATACCAAATCTGTATATTTTCAAAATTTAATGAAAGGAAATTAAACACAAACATATCAAATAACAATTAAAGCTTATTTCTGTTTTGTTCATATCCAATAACCACACAGAATAAAAACAACTATAATACACTTCCCATCTTCAAATTTCAGTACTCTGTTGTTACTTGTTAAAAAAGAACTCACACATTCTTTTCACTTGACTAGAAACATATAATGTTTTGATTGATTGTTTCAAAAATTTAAATTTTGTTGTCTTATCAAGAGTTATGAACATATTATTATAAATATTAACCTGTGAAATAAATAACTATAAAATTGTGGCTGCTGGGATGAAATTAAAATATTGGTAAAGCTAATTGATTAAATTAAGTTTTTTCAGCTCATTTATATCGCATACATAAAAAATTAAATATGCATTTGTATCATTAGAATAATATCTATCACCATATTTACTCAGGTTGGAGTTTATTTGAACATCTTCTTGTGCATACATTGTGGAATTATTATTACATCGATAAGCCTTTTTTTTAATTTGGAAAACTATTTTTTATGATTTTTTGTGGGTTGTGATTTGTTTACTAGTAGCAATAATGGCCATGTGCTAGGGATCGACGTATCTGGCTTGTTATATAAAATATATTAAATGGAGCACTGTGTCATTTATTATATAACTATTCACAGCAAAAAACACAAGGTACCGGTATATGTGTAGTTTAATGGTCCTGAGTAGACATTAAGTAATATATTGATATGGCACAAGAATGTTAGTCCGAGGGTTGAATCAATATATTATGCAAAGTCTTGCACGAGACCATTAAACAATGTAAAATACAGATACACTATCTGCACGTGCAGTTCAATGAAATCGTCTCCAATATTTCTTTCTACGAGTATAAATAATATACAATTGGCATGTTGCCCTACATTATTTGAAATACTGGTAGGCCAACATCAAAGGTGACGCCACATCTGTATTTTAAATCGATATAACTACTTCTCTCTTATTTAATAACAGCGTTTTGTAACAATGTGCATGTCACATTTTTCAGATTAATTATATCAACATATATCTTATGTTTTTTGTTGTTAATAGTGAATCGTGGTTCTAGATGTCATTTAAGGAATTATTATATACCTTTTACATGAGTTATAAATAGAGCCATTAGAGAAATTATTTCATACATTCCATGAATAAAGTTAACTAATTTGAATTTTTGATAACTTATGCTTTTTCTCAATTCTTAGATATTTTAAGTTTTAGAAATATATAGTTATAGTATGTGTAGAATATGTACTAAGGGCGAGATGTGAAGAATGAAAAGAAAATCTTGACTTGGGATTCCAATACTCTGCATTCCAGTAGTATATGTTCAGTCTTAAAAATTTAAGGATACTGTGTAGTAAAAATTCTAGGTCTAATATTCATAGTTCTCTCTTGCTTTATCTTTTGGAATAAGTGAAATTTGTCTGCCGGTAGGCTACAATACATATGTATGTTGTGTTCTTTATTTTCAGCATTTTCAACAAATCTGAAACCAAGAAGAATGTAGGAATTAGGCATTTCTAAAACTGGTTCTTATCTAGGTTATAGTTTTCAGTTGTCCGTCCTATTTAGTGTCAGGGACGTTAGGCACACTAACAATTAATCCATCCTAGACATTAGGTGTTTCGTGTCAGAAATTACATTTGATTAAAATGCTGAGATAAACCTGTGGTGATGTTGTAATGAAAATAAAGAATAATACTAGTTAAAGTAGGGTATGTAGGACTATATAATCGTCTTGTAAAATCATGCATGTAAATGAGGTAAAAAATAAGATACTGTAAGATATTCATAGCTGTAAGTTTTTTTAAAATGCATAGTAACATTACAAAAACCGGTAGAAATATTTTTGCTCAAAACAAATATATTTGCTTTTCTAAGGATTGTGTGAATATATAAAAAGCATAATATGTATATAGAGCAGAGCATGAGACTAGATATATTTTGTATATTGTATAGGTATGAAATACAGGTACGTTAATGGATTTTTTTTTTTGTGTCTAAAATTAATTTAAGTTGGATACTCTGGTTATTTTTATTGTTTATAAAAATTTATAGAATATTAAAGATACATTATGGAAGATTAGATAAAGAGCTGGCAGTTCTCACTATAATAGTTACAAACTAGATACTCTAAAGCAAATATGTTGAAAATTCAGTCAGATTGTCATTGTTACCACTGTCACGATAATTGATAATTAACAAAGTCTCGATTATCCATTTTTGCGGTTAATCATCAATGGGCATTGAACAGCAGATCGGATTCAAATCCAATAAAAATCAGACACTTAAGATGGCATTGAGAGTTGATTATGGTCTTTTCATGTTAATAAATGTCCAATAGTCTATATAACATTTCAGGCCTAAAGAAAGACCTGCAATAGGCAGATTTAGCTCTTGCATAATGTATGTTTAATAAAATACAATATATTTATTAATCATATGTTAATCTTACCATATTCAGATATACTTGGCTGTTTTTGTTTGAACTCTTCTTATGTTAAACCTGAATGTTAAATTTGTTAACATTGTTATAGAATATTTTGTTATTTTATGTGTATAAAAAAAAGAATTTGTGTCATATGTAGTGTACCAGTTCCCCATATAGTAACAAATTTGACAATCTCTTTTATATTGAAAATTGTAATATTATCACATGTCGTTAGTTTCCAGCATTAATCTGTAAAATCTATTATGTTTATTATTATATTTTTTTTTTGCTGTTTTGTATACCAATACCAAACCACATATAGATATACCATGTCTCCGATTATAATATATATATATTGATATTTATTGTTTAATACACAAAACTAGATTTGGTCTTTAATGACCATAATGGTTTTCTCCGGGTCCTCTGGTTTCCTCACACTGCTAAAGACCCCTATGCGCAAGCGAATTATTGAAATAAAATTAAAACAATATGTTAGTCCCGAAATGACCTAGTTTGTGTCGAGTGGACGTTAAACCCCATTTCTCTCTCTCTCTCTAATGACCATAATGGTAAAACCTTTTAGGATACATAATACATTTTATTTTAAAGGAGCAGTCCCAGAATTCACAGAGTACCTGATTCTAAAAGTGGGTTTAATAAAAGCTGTCTTATGATTGGTTTTTCACCCAGTTTCAGAATATTTATTCTTCTGTACACCTGTTTTACAATCTTGTGTGCATATGGACTGATCTCATGACAATTATGATTTGATTCATGTTCAATTACTATTTTCTTTACTATTAGTTGTCAGTCTTGGAACTTTATAGTACAGAAATAAAAGCAACATATATGTATAATTTATTTTTCAAAATCAACAGAATTATCAATGAAAAGTACATGATTCACATTAACATAAGTTGCCAAACAACACCTCATTTTGTAACATGCACAAAGTCTTTTTTTTGTAATAAATGTATTTGCTTCAATATATAAATAATAATTATAATGTACATACGCCATGGATATCAATGAATAAATATATGATTCTATATATCTATATATAACAATTAGTATATTACTCTTGTCTCTTACAAGGTGGAGTCTAGTGGTCTAATTTAAAACTCTGTCATTGAGTAAAGTGGCTTCACTGGCTTGGTGTCAATCCTAGGCTTGTACATGACATGCCCTACCTCATGGATTTCCTTCAACTACTAAATATCCCTACGGACAAGCGAATTATTGAAATAAAATTGTACCATATGTTATTCTCAAACTGACCTAGTTTGTGTCAAATGGTCAGGTATCAATGCAGTTTTATAAACAGTATTTGATTCATTACTAAAGTGCTATACATCAATATGTGTAGTTTAATGGTCGAGTGCGAGACATTAAGTAATATATTGATATTGCACAAGTGCTAGATCTATATATTATGCAATGTGTTGCACAAGACCAATAAACAACTTAAAATACAGACACTATCCAGCACGTGCATTCCAATGAAATATGTCACGTGGGTCCAATATTTCACATCTGTATTTTAAGGTAGATTAGTGAATCTATAAAATAAAGATGCTAATTTATCAGCAGTTAAAGGTTATAAATTTCTTCCAATGATTGTTCCAACAGTGGTGTTGCCAGGACTTTTAACTGCAGGGGTAAAGTACAACCACATAAATTTTCTGACAAATGGTTTGAGAAATTAAGGATTAATTTGCTGAGGGTAGAGAGGCATACAATGTTTGGGTCCTTTGCAGCTTTGAATCTTATTCTGTGATGGCGGATGGAGACTAAAAAAAGATATCCTAATCCTTTTTTATATGCCCTTGGAATGTCCCTGTATATTGCCATGGCATGGTCTGTGTCTCTCTGTTGTCATCATTTTTACAAACTACTACCTTTATCATCTGACCTTTTGGTTGCAATTATGAGATCAGATTTGTTTTGAAAAATACCTCATGTAAATAATATAATGAATATTTAGAAAATGTCTTATTTAATACTTTTCAGCATTAAAGGCAAATGTCAAATTATCACTTATTCAATTCAATTAATTGTCTACACATAATTAATATAATGAATATTTAGAACAATGTCTCATTCAATACTGGACAACTTTTGAGCATTAAAAGGCAAATGTCAAATTATCAATTTTTCAATTCAATTAATTGTCTACACATGATTAATTGAATACATGTAGGTTTGATGTTCCACAGTGTTAAATTCTAAGCCATATCCCTCCAAAACAAAAGGCCAACTTTTGAGCATTAAAAGGCAAATGTCAAATTATCACTTTTTCAATTCAATTAATTGTCTACACATGATTAATTGAATACATGTAGGTTTGATGTTCCACAGTGTTAAATTCTAAGCCATATCCCTCCAAAACAAAAGGCCAACTTATGTTACAAACATTATCATTCGCCCAAAGAAATTGTCTCCCTTATCTCAAATTTATCCGAAAAACCGACACGACTTATCAAATAAATCTCATCTACCTTAAAATCTATTGGTTTCCAGTTTGATTTGAAATTTTCCAGAAATTTTCCAATTTCTGACTTTTTAAACTGTCCTAAAGTAAGATGTGGTTGAAAACCAGCAGTATTTATAGTAGACAAATCATTAAAATCGGGATATAAATTCTCTAAATTTTTCTGTATATTCATAACAGAAGGATGGAAGTTTATATTGGAGTGTTTTTGAGGCTTATTCCTACTTTTATCTTTTTCAATAGTTGTCCAGTTGATTTCTTCATAATCCATCATTGTTTCTTCAGAAGTTGAACTAGAAATTGCAATATTACTATCACTATTATAGTTAACTGACCAGGCTTTTTTGTGGGGGTTGAATTTGGGTAGAGCAGTAGTTGTTATTACTGGTTGCGTAATCAATTCTTTGTCTCCAGGTCTCCATATAGCATCTTTTAAACTATCTAGGCCAACACTACCATAAGATAACCGAAGCCTTACGTTGTCTTCAGGTGTCCATATTGCATCTTTAAGATTATCCAGGCTTGGGGTGTCTATTGGATGGGATGGCAGGATTACATCTACATGCTCTGGTTTTTTATCTTTAACTTGATTTCCAACTTTGGTTGTCTGTCAAATAAATGCAACAATTAGTACATAATACACCAAAATGATATGAAATCAGTTACTATTGAGAACAAATGACAAGGTAATTTAGATAATTAATGTGATTTCTAAAAAAGATACCGGAATCATGATTCACCAATAGTTTTAACAGCTGGGGAACTTTGGAATTTGGTTCAACACTCATACCAATAGCCAGAAAATGTAACAGGTGTTTACTTATTGGAGTATGAGATCTAATGTAACATAGCAAAGAAGGGGAGAGACAGGCACTTTTTGGGGGGTTGGGGCAGCAACTTTGGTCTACTGCAATGAATAAAAAGCTATTTTTCTGTCGAGGCACTAGAATGATACAAGACAGAATTTTATTTTTCAATTAAATCATTTCTCACCATTGGATAGTATGTTTGATTTATATTATGTGTGGGGGATGGAGACACAAACTCTAGGTAAGCCTACGTCACTGATTGGTCTATATTGATAGTAGTAATCCAATCAGACCGAGTTAGATGTTTATGTTATGTACTTACAGGTGAGATTTGGCAATCTATTCTCTGATCTGAGTGATCTCCAATGAGATCGGTAACTTGTTTAGAATATAAAAGAGGTTTAAGCCACATTCCGCACGACTGTCCATGTTCAAAATAACCAAATGAATCACTAGTAAATGATATAACAAATGGTTTAATCTTCATCAATTTTGTCTCTAATTCAGGAACCAATGATGGAAATTTTGTATCTGGCATGAAAGGGTACATTAAATTTATATGTGGCATCCATCTATTATAAGCTTTATCATATTTCCTGAAAATATAAAACAATTAGACAACAATGTAGTGCATAAAAAAATTCTTTTGATCTACAAATTGTCCTAGATTTCATTTCATGACCATTGGCTGTGGAATTTTTTCAAAGTAAGGATTAAAAGGTGTTTCTGGGTCCTTATGTTGCTTCAAATATAGTTTTATATATGAAACAAATTATTACCAGTACCGTAACTAAATATTAGGCCTACAGGACACTGGTCTTGGTTTGTGTATGCTTGTGTGGTGTATGACAGCAAATTTTGACCAGAATTTTCACCAACAGGTACTCTTGTTCAACTTCCAATATTTAACACTCCCATAAAGCAATTTCATAATGTCCAAAGCCAGCATGGCCCAATAAAAATCCAATTCCTATTAGGCCTAATAATACTATTGAATATAACACAACACAGTTTTATGGATAACAATCACTATATAATTAATAATTATTATAAACACACAACGTTTCGACAAGATTTCACTGGTCGTTATCAAGCATATGACCAGTGAAATCTTAACACAAGGTACAATTTTATGGATATACAATTACTGAGTTTGATACTAAGCGACGTTTGTACCTTGTGTTAATATGTTCAATTACTAAATGCCAATCAAAGAAGATACAGTGAAATCTTGTCGAAACGTCGTGTGTTTATAATAATATAGTGATTGTTAATATTATCCATAGAACTGTCACTGTGTTGTGTTATATTATGTTCAATCGCTAAATGCCATTCTCAAAGATTATAATACTATCGAGTCTATTGTCGTGTCATGGATATATTGTTAGGATTTCTGGCAATTACCTTGCGTGTTACACCTGATAAATAAAAACTTTGTAAAAGCCATATTTCGAAACCAATAATAATGTAGACTACTACTACTAGGCTAGTAGGCCTACTACTTGCCTTCTTATATTCTGTATCTGTTCCCACACAAACTTTGGTGGAATAATAACAACTGCACTCTTATTTGATTTACTCATATTTTCAGAACGGTACTGCTCTATAGGCCTATGACATGACACCTTTCTTATTCCTAGCCTAACCTAGAATTTTAAACACCGGATAACACTTCAAAATTATTGCAGAATCTGCAGAAAACACTGTTGACAAAAGTGTCAAGTCTGTTGTGCAATGCACGTTCATGTCAAGGGAGATAACTTAAAGGGAGATAAATACACTTTATAAAATTGAATATTCCACAACCCAAATATAAGGAGCTAAATCGCTAACATTTGGGACCTAGATATTGATACAAATAGTATTTATTGCGCATGCTTTACAGATAAGAATATGGCGTCACCGTTTGACATGACTTGTGGAAATATGTCTAGTGTCTAGCCTCGTTCATTGAGTTCCTTGTTAAACATTTGTGTTACACGATTCGTGTACCAATGATAAAATGTTTATTTTGTCTTAAATATTGGATATCAGAAGCCCATCTTTTCCCGGTAAGATCACAACATCAATGTTGATTTAAATTGACAAATAATTTGTGTTTTCAATGTCAAAGACTTTGGACGATATTGAGTTAGAGACTTAACTACTTTAAATAGAACCTTTGAATTTTGTAATGTGGTGTATCATCATAATGACAACATAAATGGCTTTGTATTTTATAAAGCGACACTGTTGCAAAGACATCTATGTTAAAATTATTTTTGGAATGTATTTTTAAAATAAGTTCTATCACATATCTAAAACTGTTTGACAGCAACATTACCCTTTAAAGTGAACATACAAGTAATTGGTTAAGACATAGTTTTTATTCAAATTTATAATCCACATGATTGAATAACAATATTATGCAAAAACAGTTTTATAACAAAACAATGTTGCACTACATACATAAGTCAAATTGACTTTATTACAATACACAAGTCAAATTCACTGTGTGTGTTACTATATTGAAAATGTTTAAAATTGTCAGTTTTATATATAAATATCACATTAAAAATATCCTATTAAGGCAAATATTTGTTATGAAAGCATCTGATATCATTTGACAAAATTTAGATTTTTAAAGTCATATACACATTTGATTTAATATTTCTTCATCACCAACAAATAATCATTTATCTGCGGTGCATTATACAGCCAACAGATTTCCCCTGAAAGGTTATATGTGCGCTACCAGTAGACAAAGCATTGTTGTCGACAAAGCATTGGGGTTGATAAATTCTATTTCCAAATGCAAATTTTTGTAATGAAGATTTGTTTGTTTACGTCGTTGATTGTGGCCACTATGTTTAGGTTTGTATAACCCAATCATTGTATGAGTTACTGACTACTTAAATATATCAACATGCCAAGGTTTGGAATTCTCCAGTAGGACATACCAACAGCTTGGTAACGTCTGTGACTAGAAATCTGCAGCAAGAAATTGTTATGGTGTGCATTGATGGTTTTGGTTGACAGATTGTTTCTGATAAGAAATATTCATTATTGAGTACTGGCCTTAACCACTACTGGCCAGTGCATTTGAATGATTTTTGTACCTGTTTCTGACCAACAAAACACAGTAGATTCATTTATTGGAATGTTGAGCTTTGTAATTACATATTTGTCATTGATGCTTTGAGTTTTAAAATCATGTTATGTCAACATACTACTACCTTTACAAATATGCAGTGCTTTAGGTATAAATATAGATATTTAGATAAAAACTGACAAACAGTTTACATATAAGACAAATTTAAACAAATACAAAGCAATAAAACAATATACTCTATAAAACAATCATTTGGTAAAATATTGATATGATCATAATTCTGTTTTTTGATTCTTTTTGTTTTTACTACAATAGTTTAGAGGAGAACTTCCTGCACATAATGAATCTTTAAATGGTATACTTTTATCTAAATACAACTGATATACATCATATTCATCCATTTGGTCAACTATAAAATTGCACATATTTTGTAATCTGAAAAAATAATGACATCCATATAATTAAACCAGTGAGACTATCGAACCACTATACAATATTAGGAGTTTGGTAGGAAATTTTTTACAATTAAACTCTTTTTCAAGGATGCTAACATTGATGGAACTGATTAACGAATCAGTTGTTAGACTGTATCAAACTGCTTTTGTTACTGCTTTCATTGCTACTGAAAAGGTTGTTATAATGCGATGTCACACTATATGTCAGTGTTAATTTAAACTTCTGGTATACATAGCCTCAGAGAAACACAATCATAGAAATGTAAGAAAGGTGAACACTAGAAATATGAACTGTTGCTGTATTTCTTGTTATTTGGTGTAAAGATAAATTTAACTTATATAAATAATATAAATCAAGGACTTAGGTACCGTGTAACAATCTTACTTTACCTTAAGTTCTACATTAGCATGCATTGATTCCTAAATTGCTTCATCATTATTCGTAAATATTAATATTTTAGAATCGATATAACTAACACTCAGTAATTTTATACATTTATTTTCAATTTGTTTCAAACGTTGACACCCAAATTTGAAATAGAATATTTAAATAAATTACAAATTCATGGCCATTAGACCATATTTTGTATTTTGTCATATTTACCTCCTTGGCCAAAGACCCCCTCCTTGCATTACACCTGGAACATTTTCAGTTTCTAAACCAGGTCCTGTCAATCTGACCCTTCCATTGACCTCCTTTACTCCACATCTACAACACATAATAACATCATAAAATTACAATTAATATTTAAAATAGGAAAACGAGGAGGGGTACGGCAACACTCCCTTAAATAAGTAGAAAAGCTGGACAGGCTGGTACATCTGCGTAGGATCTGGATCAAAAAATGATGCCGGCGGGGCGGAGTAGTAGAATAGATAAAATTAAAGAATCCCCGCCAAACAGAACAGCTTTTCTACTTATTTAAGGGAGTGTTGCCGTACCCCTCCTCGTTTTCCAGTTTACTCTCTCCAGGCACGGTGAGCATCTTTTTTAGATCCACACGTCTAGGAAATTTTGAGCTTTTTTAGCCGCCTTCCATCTATTTAGTACTGCTAATGGACAACTTCAACAAAAAGAGAAAAACAGCTGATGAACCAGATATTTTCGTCTTAACCACTAATTTCAACAACAAACGTCTTCCAGAAAACGCTATCCCGTACCTCAAAACTTACCGCAAAATTCGAACGGGTCTATTCAAATGCGAACAACACATTTAATATTTAGAGAAATGTATCACCAATCGCTTCATACCTAAGGGTTTGAGCCACAATAAACTAACTCCACAGACTCCTACTTTTCCCTCCAAATATCTTATACTTTGGGAAGCCGCACATCAAGATTTCGGAAAAGCACTCACGAGAATCCTATCCAACTATTGGAAAAAAAGAAAAACCTACTTGGATTAAGCCAGAATAAATTTACTCCGACTTTTCCCTCCAAACAACTTATACTCTGGAAAGACGCACATCAAGAATTCTGAAAAGTACTAACTAGAATCCTCACCAATTATTGAAAGGAAGATGAATCAACACACACTTGGATTTTATTTAGAAAACCTATTTTCCTCCCGAAGAAGAATAAATATCACCAATACGTACCAGATCGAGGAATATCTAATTAAAACCTAATCGACACCCTAATTCTACAGCATTCATTTTATACGCTAGATTCTAGATAAACTGTTTTTCGTACAACCTCGCCTTTAAGCCTCAACTACCTTATCTTCACTTAGTATATCCTTCTCCCGTGGCCCTCTAACTACAGAAACTATATTTCATAGAGGTGACCAACAACCCATCTATTTAACCTGAATATGATCCACCACTCATCATTATCACCGATTTCACGATCCAAAAGAATTGAACCACCAAGCTACGTAATTACTCCTTTTAACTCTATACTCCGCTAATCACACAACCTTCAGTCCGATCGTAGCAAACCCCTTACGTATTCTAGTCTTTTATTCCTCCTCTGCACGTTTGAAGACTAGGAGGTTCCGGATGACCGAGACTATACGTATCAATACAGAAGAAGATGAAACAACCACCGCCTCAGCCATCCTGGAGTACATCATCTACTATTCATTTTAAATCGCTCCATAATTATCATCAATCTATAAACATTCTTAGTTCCATCCAACAACAACAGCAAAGAAAAAGAAGAAGAAACAGCCGTAGCCACAGCCATCCTAGAAGACATCAATGATAATTATTTTATTTAAATCCGCGATAATCGACCTATTCTTTGTTATTTTAAAATATTAAATCTTTACTTATTTTTATAATTATATTAATAATTTTACTTATTTAACAATCTTTAATTTAATTTTTAAAAATCCTTTTTGTACATACAAATAAATTTAACGATCCTCGTTTTTAACAATCCTTAATTTTAACGATTCTTTTCTTTCAAACCAATCATTGTACATTAATAAATTTAAAAATCCTGTGACGTCATCTCGTTTGTTTGTATATAAGGCGTCACAGGATTCACAAAAAATCATTCTTGAAAAAGGGTATTGCACCCGAAACGTTGGATTGATATAAAGATCTTTTAAATCTACAAGTCTGTTGCTGGTTCTGTTTGGCGAGGATTCTTTAATTTTATTTAATTTTATCTTTTAATATTTAAAATACATAATATACAGATACCTTTCTTTTATGTTTCTCAAAAATGTAATCAGAAAATAGCCCCCCCCCCCCTCACTCCATCATCATATAACCACAAAAACAAATATTGCAAGACAGTGTTTATGGCCTAGAAAGAAGAAGAAAGTCTTGATTTAGTTGTAAACCTAGAAGTCCAACATTCCTTTATAAAATTACAGATGATATTTAAAATGTTACTATTTATATTTAGATGGGTTTTCTTTTAGAATCCTAATTTCACATTTTAAATCAATATTTTGGGGGGAGATCCTACTGATGGCAGTACTGTAGTACCACAAGCTGTCACCATTATTAAACTAAAATATTTTATATAATTTCAATTTAACAAACTAAAATCTAAATACCGGTATATGAAAAAGAGAACTTATAAATTTTAAAATAAGTTCATAATAACCAGGGACCTGTTTCACGAAATTTTAACTAAGATAAAATCCAAATTTTAGTAATTTGATTGGATAATATTAGATTGATTTTAGTGCTTAGCCAATCAAAATTAAAGTATCTACTAAAATTTGGATTTTATCTTTAGTTAAAATTTCGTGAAACAGGGCCCAGTTTTCTACAAGTAAGTTAATATTGTTATTCATTTTGTATTTTTTGTTTGCAGTATTTAATGATAAAATTGACAATTAATGATTATGGCATTATTATGGATGTTGGAAAAATGGAGATCATTCACCTGTGTCAGCCTGTGGAATATGCTGTGACTAATTAACCTAGTATAATGGTAATTTAATAAACACAGCATTTAATCTTGGAGACTAATTTAAAGGAGCTAAATCACTAATATTTGGGACCTAGAAACTGACAGAAATGGGTCGCAACACATATAACAATGTACTATGAATGTATATAAACTGATTTACATTCAATTGTTTCTGTTTTTACTCTAATTTCAAATCAGTTATGTTCGGCGAAATATGCCAGAAGTCTCAATCGAATGCCAATCTTTAGTGTCTGGTTATTCCAGTCTATACCAATAGTATTGCAATGCTCTCCAGATAAGAATATGACGTTACCAATTGACATGACTCCACTCGGCAAACCTCAGCAGATTCCGGTACACTTCATCTAGCCTCAGCTGTGTGACAGTAAGTTATATGTACTTACACCTACACAATTGTGATGAGGCACCGGCTTACTTATTAGGAAAACTTGCCGCTTTTAGAAAGAATTTCTCAAAATTGCGTTGTTCGAAGAGTGTGTAGAATTTTCAGTGCAAAGTTGTCCTTGTTTAAAGAAAATCGGATAAACTTGAAAGAAAAACAGCTTCAGACTTTGAAATCTTTGTATGATAAAACATTGTTCAAAGGTGTCATTGTGGGCGATGCCGTTGGTAACCCAGAAACTTTAAAGTAGTTCCAATGGTGGACTTCATCATACAGCCGTGGCTAAATGTAGGGTAAGGTACTGGAGTCTGCTGAGGTTTGCCGAGTGGACATGACTCATGGAATATGTCTAGCTTTGTTCTTTGAGTCTCTTGTTACAAATGGCACTGAAACGTATTATGGTACATGATTCGTGTACCATTGGTAAAATGTTTATTTTGTCTTAAATATAGGATATCAGAAGCCCATTTTTTCCCGGTAAGATCACAACATCAATGTTGATTTAATTTGACAAATATTTGTGTTTTCAATATCGAAGACTTTTGAGGATATTGAGTAAATGGTAAAATGTTTATTTTGTTTTAAATATTGAATATCAGAATATCTTTTCCAGGTAAGATCATAACATCAATGTTGATTTAAATTGACAAATAATTTGTTTTTTAATGTCGAAGACTTTGGTGGATAATGAGTTAAAGACTTAGCTACCGCACCATACTTTAAAAGTTTCCTGGAAATTTGATACCATACCTTGAATAATGAAATTTTTGAATAACTTTAAATAGTTGATTCTACCTAAAAACAAAAAAGCAAACTTACGATTTAAACTCGTCTGAACAAACATTTTCAAAAATATCTAATACTTCAGTCTCTGGTAAATATTTCAAAGATTTTCTACTTCTGTGAGCTTTATCAAATCTTTTATTCAACTGAAAAAAAAAAAAAAAAAAAAGAAATTCTTCAATATATTTATATAGATTTTACCATTATAATTCACTTACATAATAAGTATAAAGGCATCACTGTAGCACATACATTATCAAGTGTTTTTTTAAATCTGGGTTGCGCTTGAATAAGCCTATGCAATATTAGGAGACGTAGTAATTCAGATTTAGATATTCAGATGATCTATGACATGACACCAACTTGCAGCCAGTACCAAGTGCCAGTGGTGGAAAATTGTGAGCGTAACAATAATGAAAATAATACCATATAAGCTATAATTGTACATCCATCGCATTTTAATTTATCTGGCATATAAATACTGTTCATTTCTTCATCATCTAGTTTTGGGGGTGTAAATTTGATGCTTCCACTACCATCTGGATTCTGGTTAACGCCTGAAATTTTTTCATCACAATTTACATAGTTCGTTGTCTCAATATACGCCGCAATAACGACCAGGATTGTTTTCAGAGTATACTCCATCATCAACGGACGGATAGGTCAATCAATCACTGTCGCTGTGCAGTTTATGGGCTATATGAAGTCAATTATTAATTGTTAATAAAGCAATCATATTCATAAGCTTGACAATAAAATTCCCGGCAAATAGCAAGTAGACACGTAACTTCACAGAGCATGCGCAACACACCTGCTACTTCCGATGAAGCACGCGATTCAAATAATTTAGCAAGCAGTAGCCAATTATAATACTGTACGGTATTATCTATGAATAGATCTGTGATTGTTAGGATAAACAAACAATACAAAGCTACCTTCTAATACATGGAACTACGATTTACGGAAAATACAAAGAATGGGATGGAATTATGGAAAATAAAATAATGTCATAACAGTGCAAACCCACACACATTTTGTCATTTAGATTGTTTGTATTGCGGCAAAATTTGACTTCAACTGGCGGAGCCATCCCGGACGTTATTTTCACCCCAAATCATTACAATTTCGTTTGTGTCTGAGGGCTCGACCACGTCGTTTTTACGCCACTATGCCTATTATGCCCCTTCTGCTCAGACATTGATACAAAGTCCATTTTTTTTTAAATTGAATGTCAAATTAATTCCCACCCCCGTTATGGACTTTTTTTTTTTTTTTAAAAGAAATACGGTACATCAGACAGATGTAAGCTTCGATAATATGTTTCCAAAAGATAAATCTGGCATGGGGCAACGGAGCTATGGCCTACTCTTTTTTCGATTTTGAACTGCTAGGGATCTTTAATGGTATACTTTCAAGGCACCCATTTTTTCCGCGCCATCCGAACGATTGTACACTTTTCATTGTCAAGTCCGCCGTCATGCGCCAGTAATATTGGAAGACCAGAAACTTTACATAGCATTAGCGGTATACTTTCTAATCAAAGTTGGAGAACATGTGGGAATAAAGACCAACGCAATAACAAAAAGTCGGGAAACAGTCAGTAGAGAATTCTCGAAAACATACAAGCAAGAAACATGACTTGCATAATATACAATTATACAGCCCTATCATTTTACATACATCAGTCGACCCTATTACATACCACAGACAGAGTGAGTTTCATTTCTTATCTTGTATCTGGTCTTGGAGTAACCTTAACACTAACAAACGCAGTAACTGCATACAGTATACAAAAGCTTTAGCAAGGGTATGTATTAATATCTATATTGCGTTCTGTATGTTATTTTTTTCTAATGCAGCATTTCACACACACAAAAAAACAAAAAACAAAAACAAAAAAACAAAACGAATAAATAATGAAAGTTTGAAATTTTAATATTCATTTTATATTTGGAATAGTTTTATTATGATTTTCATACATGAAATGAATAACACCTGTATATTTAAAATGAGATTTACTAGGTATAGTCAAGCGGACTAACATTGACTAGGTTTTGAAATCGTCCAACTGCGGGTATCGCAAGGAAAGCGTTGATTATTCCTGGGATATTTTGAATCGAAGAATAATATCAAATATGTCGCTGTTTGGGCTAGATACTCCTCCTAAATATTGAATACTTGACGATGGGAAATGAAATTAAGCTCATACTAGTCCCAAATGATCATTGAAGTATTGTGTAAACGGTAAACACCCCATACCTTTCCTTCGGAAATTGCACGTTATTAGGCAACATTTAACACCCGTCAAAACAGAACGTAGATGAGTAGGACTGTTATATACATGTATATAGGATGTGAACCTTTCGGACTGAAGGGGGTATTCATGTTAGATATTCTTTAGCCACGGATTGCATTCATTGACTATTAAATCCCTTCATTATAGTCGAAGGTAAATTAAATCTGAAATAAAACCAGACACATTTATATCTTCTAATTATTAATATGTTTTATATAAAACAAGAGTTTGGCAGACAGCCATTTTCATATTCCCTTGTAGTGTATGATCAACTGTAGCTTTATATCAGTGCTATGATAAAGATGAATTGAATATTATATAGGCGTGTCCCCAATAGGCAAATACCTGAAACAAGACCAGTGTTAATAAAGTTATGCGGTATTCATTTCTTTTTTAATTATATTTTTGCATACACCAGGATGGAATATTATCCACCCGAACATTAATGATGTCCAACCCTTTGCCAGGGCAGCGGCATTTAAAACGTCCAAGTCTATACAGGACATATTCTTCTATGGTAGTCGTTGGGAAGAGAAGGAATTTGAGGCGTCGATTACATTTTTAAGTAGGACCACTTGAACTAATCAAAGTACACCACTGCAATATCAGAAAAAAATTCAAATTCCAATTATGTAAAATAATCCGAAAAATATATGAAAGCAATAACAAAATCTTGAACTGTTTAATCGATTAGATTATCATATAACATTAAGTGTAAATGGCATGCACGAATCAAATATATAAATCATATAGAAATTTCTTCAGACAGAATATCCTTAATCTTAACAGCTGGTGAAGGGGGTAGAATGACCTATACTAACGACCTTTTCATGCTCATCACATTTCAATCTCGGCATCGCCTCATATCCCGACAGGCATTTCGTTTGGGAGCTTTCCATCAGTAAGCCAGTATTAGGTAGAGACGGGGTTTCTCTGTTATACCATCAAGGTAAGCTATATATAACATAGACATTAAATCTGTTTACAAATTTCACGTCTGTGCTTGCATGCTGTTCTCCGCTAGTACCATCTTTTTAACACTCTCCTTGAAAAATCGCGTACAACAACCTTTATGCGAATCTGTTTTGCATTATCACTTGAAAATTTAATTAAGCATACGAAGAACTAAGTTCTTCAGGATAAGTTTACTTTGTCAATAGAGAACAACTTCTGGACTACCTTTCAATAGTTTACACATCTACAGATAGCAGACGGTTGTGTGTTAAAGTTGTTCAAGGTAAATATTATATCAGTTTTAACTATAAAATCATCGAATCTCACTTTGTCGTATTGGTATTTGTTTTTTTTAGAGGTGTATGTTTTGACCTTCAGTATAATCTTGTTGTCTAGATCTCAACATCATGTCAAGGTTTCATGATATTGTCAATCCATAAATAATCTTCTAATGGCACATCTTAAACTACAAAATCTTATGTCTTTTTATAATGATTTTTGTAATTTGTTCTATGTAAAATTGGAATTGGCAGTCATTTTGATACGAATTGCCTAAATCTAAAGTTGAACAAACCACGTTATATATTGTGTGTAAAAATAGCTGCCAGACTACTGAAAGAACTTTTAGTACAAAATAACACATGATAAGCACAAGGTCCGTATCTATATATACATGTATATAGCGGGAGAATGAAAGATATCTCTTGCTGTTAATAAACGTATTATTCAATATACTTTATATAGGGAAACATTTAAATTTTCTTAAATCTTCTAAAGGTATTATTTAATATACTTTATATAGGGAAACAGTTAAATTTTCTTAAAACTTCTAATTGTCTTAATTAAATGAATAAAAATCTTAGCTAACTATCAATGGAGCTCAGGGCCAGATTAATCACATAGAACTACATCACCCCATGCCAGCATACTACACGTGCTTTGGGTAAGAGAAATTAATCAGTAAATTGACCGTTAATGTTTGTCTGATAACACACCATAGGTTATAGTGTGTCTTGATTCTATCAATCATAAATACTAACCTTATCGTCATTAATGTCATATATCTACATATTGTAAGAATGTTATTAATACAAATTACTTCTTTGAACCGTGTGGAATTTTAATGCTATAAATGTTTTCAATTTTAATGCTACAAATGTTGTTTTCAATTTGAATGCAATGATGTAATAATTATACAATACTTTCCATCCCATTAGAAGTACAAAAACAGACCAAATCGTGAAAAATCCGAATAACATTTGCCAGGAAGGCATGTGTTGAACTTAAAACTGTCCAAATTAGGGGTATCAATTGCTCCTGAAAATTTAAGCTACATTAATTCATCCTGCCAATATGCAAAATAATATCTATATAAGATAAAATAAAATGGACGACTTAATGATTAAAAAATAATACACAATTCATTTATTGTTTATAGACGATTGTCATTGTGGTCGGAGTTTTAAAGACACATTGTTTTGATCAACTTTGTAGAGTTGACCAAAATCACCAGCGTACATCGTCAAAAGTACCGGCCAGGTTATAGATCCTTGCGTCATTCCTCACGGTAACATTTTGGATATGACGGACAGCGTGAACAGTGCCGGATACAGCGCCCATTCTTGCTGAACACCATACTCTATCTCACATTGTCTTCTTCCGTGAAAAACATTTGGTTATGACGGATTGCAGGAAACCAATATGAACTATATCCATCATCATAAGATTAAAACATTCTTTTAGCTAGTAGTGATTTGTATTCGCCAAGTCATCGTTTTCTTGGCTGTTTTTTTTCTTTCTCAAAATAGAGGTTCTTTTTGTACCAAACATCCTATATATCATGGTGAGCAAGGGCATACTTGAGATGAATACCTATAATATCTGTTAAGCCTATCATCCACCTGTTGAAATACAAATCTTGTTGCCTTTGTTCACGTGTTAAACACGTTTATTATATAAATACCCTTTACCATTTTAAATTTATTCAAACCACATGTTCTAAAAACGATGACCAGACAGATATTTATTCAATAGAAGTTCAGGGGTTCAACCGAATAGGGATATCACTTATGTATGAAAATAATCATATATACAGGTCATCCATCTGTATATTTTGAAGTTTGTGTACCAGATCATATTATTCTGAGATTCTAATGGGAATGTTGCAAGCTATATAGTTTTATGTGTATTGATAATGGTATATGTTAGGATGTAACGATGTTTGTGTGTATTCATTACGTTATATGTGTAAGTGTGTAATGAAATGAAATGAAATGCAGTTTAACGTCCTACTGTTCTGCTCCTAACCTGGGCTAATGAAGACGGGCATACGCCATACAGTGTGCTATGAAGGAAATTTTGCCCGGACAGCGGCACGGCCTACTCTTGTATCGAATTCCAACTGCCAAGGGATCTTTTACGTGCACGCCAATGTGTACACGGGACCTCGGTTTTTCGTCCCATCCGAACGACTAGACAGCTTTCCTTGTCAGTCCCTCCGTCCTGCATCACTGACAAGGGAGAACCACGCCGGAAAATCTGGATGAACTTTCTCGGCCAATGCAGGGATCGAACACCCGACCTCCAGGCTAGCGAGCTAGCGTCTTACCCACTTAGCCACGTGATCATCTAGTGTGTAATGAGATGTGTATTCATTACGTTATGTGTTAGGGTAACGATATGTATATCAATTATATTATGTTTGTTAGGGTGTAACTGTAACGATTCGAGTATGTGTCGTCATCATGTTGTGTGTTTGGCGTGTATTAGGGTGTTATCAGAGTTATTTGTAGGCGCTAAGGTTAAAAAGTATTATGTTTTGGATGTGTATTAGGTTGTATATTGGGGTGTTATCAGAGTTATTTGTAGGCGCTAAGGTTAAAAAGTATTATGTTTTGGATGTGTATTAGGTTGTATATTGGTCTGAGTTCTATGTATATTCCGTAAAGTTATATATTTGTAAGCGCTAAGGTTAAAAAGTATTATGTTTTGGATGTGTATCAGGTTGTATATTGGTCTGAGTTCTATGTATATTCCGTAAAGTTATATACGATTGTACCCTGTGTGTATTATTTAGTCTGTACATGTATATTCAATCGTTTATAGGTGGATATTAGTTATTATAAAAGAAATAAAACAATACGATATCTGAATCTTATGTGGAAGCAGACGTTAAACACCAAGAACGAACGAACGAACGATATCTGAAAATAAAACTATTGATAATTTCCATATACACAATATTGTTATAAAGATGATTTATAACAATTTTTATATCAATGTTATTTCGATGCGCACAATAAAAATGTTACATGTCTAAAGTCACATATATTTGTTAAGAATATGTCGTTTAACTAATTATTCACAGGAATGAATGTTCTAATTATGTGTATTCACTTTTTTAGCTCATGGAAATCAATATGTAGTTGTGGTGGGGCGGTGGCAACGAAAAAAAAGGGGGTGGGGAAGGTCGCCAGTAAGCCAGTTGAGGTTTGTGGAGCGTTGTGAGCCCACCTTGAAAAATTGTGAGGTTTTATCAACAATTCTACCCCAAACTATAAGTAGAAGCATCCTTTCATGTCTGGGGAAGGGGAGACCTCAAGCAAATATTGCAGTTTTAGGCGGTACTCATATTTTGCGCTGTCGACACCTTTGCACAGCTTACTATAAAACCAGATATTTTATCATTTTTTAGCCAATAAACCCCCGATTTTGAACCTGTTTTGTACTTAATTGTTTTGCAATTCTATCCCTAGCTATCTGTAAAAAATATCCTTTCAGGGCCTAGGAAGCGAAGCTCCCGACAAAGGTTTGCAGTTTTCAGGACGTTTGAAGTTTTAAATTCCATTGACAACCCATCATATTTCGCGTGTTGGTTTCCCATTGGAAATCGTCATTAGGAACCAAAATATTGATCATTAATGGAACCTTCTGCATCCCTGTGCTGAAAATAAAACCCCTTTAAAACATAATAAGCGTATGTGCATTATTTTTGTCAAATTATAAATGAAATGAAATGAAATGGGGTTTAACGTCCTACTGTTCTGCTCCTAAACTGGGCTAATGAAGACTGGTCAAATTATAAGGATGTCGATCTAGTAAAATGTGTATGCCAATAACTGTGTTTATCTTATACTTTATACTTCCTATTTTTCATGATATTTTGATTACAGAATGAATGACGTAATATAGGTGGATAAACATAACAATTGAAAATGGTTTCTTAGTTTAGCGGTGATTCACACCGAATACTTATAAATAAAAATTACTCATCCTAGTCTATTTTTCTCTTAGTACAAAATGGTTACAATATCATCTCTTTACTGAAAACAATATAATATAGATCATGCCATTACCATAATAGATACTGTTCTGTAACCTTACTGATGATCTCAACACCCACCGCACCGCCATGACGCATCCCACCCCAACCACCGGCGTTTTCGTAAAATAAATTTAATTCTATCTTTTTTTTTTACACAATCGTTTGTTCTGTAGTTTTTCTTGTCTTTGCTTTGTTGTTTAGTTGCTTAGTTTTGCGTTGTCTGATGAAGGGTGCTCTAACTGTTTAATGAATCAACCTAAGTGTTTTCGACTACGGGTATTTCTATTTGTATCGGACACTTGTAAACGTACAATCGAAACTTTTACTTTTGCTATTATTTATATGCATCTGTAGAACACCCGGTACCACATCCCGTTTATCTCGGAAGTTCATACAAACATCAACTATTGTTGTATGTTTGTAATTAATCCATCTGACCATCGCATAACCTGGTGGTAATTGCACCGAGGTTACCTCTATCAGGTAGCTTTCGTTTCTGTAATCAACTTTCCCTACAAATAGCTATATTGGAGGTGACGGGTGTTGGTTGAACCCATGAAAACACTTCTGTTTAGTTGGGACGTTCACATAGCATAATTGACATAGTTTTAAAGCTAAAACATGTCTGATGTTTCATCGGTATTGCATGTTTACTTTACATATCTGTGTATATAGTTTTTTTTATTATATGATATATTTGGGTGTGTTCGATTACCTTATCTATATTGATATAAAGTAGATATGGTTTATGTTTTTTTCTTATATCTTATCTATTCTAACCTCTACCATGTGTTATGTGATTTTATATCATCCTGTGGATAAAAACGAATATAAGTGTCTTTCGAAAATAAAGAACTTTCATGTCGTATCAATCACTCAATGGATTTTCCTTTTTCGATTTATTAATCCTAGTGTAGTGTTAGGTATGCAAGCAACGAGATTATTTAGTTTTTACACCC